ATACCCTTGCCTGTTTCCTTCTTCAGGCAGGCAGCCATTCAACTATACTGTGCCCCCTTCACCCAGTTTCATCGTTAAGGAGAAGAAATGGATTCGCTTCACATATCTCTTAACTAAAGGAAGTAGGGACACCTCGGTAGTCAGAACGTCAGGAATATGTGTTTTTAAGCCCAGACATCTCACTGTGGCTGGGGGGGTGGGGAGAAGGAGTGGGCCTGGGCATTACGGAGCCCCCAGCTTGGCTCTGGGGGGTGTGCAGGGAAGGTGGTGAGACGGAGGCTATGGGGCTGTTCCAGTGCTGAGTGCAGCCCACGTCCTCCAGGCTTTAAGAGCTGAGGCATTTTGTGCTGAACAGAGAGCCTTCCCACTTAGCTAATTGAATGTCCTTGCTGCATGCTGTCAGGCGGCTCAGCAGGGGACAAACCTCATCTGATGTGCACGCAAATTTAAAAGAGAAAAAGATGACAGAGGGTTTAATGGAGCAGACAGCACTGCAATCCCACGGCAACTCCAAAGCCCGGGCCTCAATGCGAGCTCTCAGCCTGAGAGGGAAAGTGCTGTGATTCAGCGACCTGCCCGATTTTCCCCAAAGGCACTTGAGGCTTCCATTAAATGCTTAGGTGTCCTGATTACTGAGAGGGGGGAGGCTGAAGGAAAAATCTCATACTTGTGCTATTTTTTCTCTCACGGAGAGCCCCAAAGCTACTGAGTGGAAGGAGCTGGTCACAGGGGAGGTGGCCGGCAGGAAAGGTGATGCCATCCAAGCACTCTGCCTTCTCAGGGCCTTGTCAGAGTGGGCAAGGTAATTTTATGTTGGGAAACTTCAGATGGTGATGACTGTCTGCAGGGAAATCTTCAACCTGCCAGCAGTGACGTGAAGTTCAAGCACCATCATTATCCGATGCCAGTACAGAAACTAGGTGGATCCCTCTGTCCATCACCAAACCCTGGCCACAGCCCACATGGTAATCATCAGCCCTAGCAGCAGTCCAACCCCCCTTCCTGGTGTTGTCTAACTTCATAAGAATCCTTCCAGATTTCCTTTCCCATCCAGTCAAGTCCTGCTCTGCATAAGAAGCTTGTCTGGAGTCAGAGTTCAAGTCTCCTGGCATCAGGTGCAGGGCTTTGTGCAGCGCCCCCTCTGCCAAAAAAAAAAAAAGCAGAAAGGCAACACCACAGACACCTTCTTATCTCCATCATTTATTATTTGAATTACTTGCAGTGTGGACGCCAGGTTTTGATTCCTTCCCTCTAGCACAAATCCTATTACTGGTGTGAGAAGGGCCGGAATCTGGCTCTGAGTCATGTTATTCTGCTCCCAAATTCCTCCCCTGCTGGGTGAAAACTCCTTACAGCACACAGGTGGTGGTGCTCAGAGGTCTCCTAAATGAAGGATGATGGAGGGGCAGGACCCACATGCTCTCATTTCCCTATGGGCTGCGACATCATTTTACGCAATGCAGAATTTCACAGAGAAAAGAGAAACCTTTTTATTTTTTTCAGAATCTGCAAGGGAAATAGATGCCTTAACACCCCTTGTCTATTTGAAGTAAAATAAAAAAGATGTGGCATTGATAAGAAGACGTATCAAGATGTCAAAGTTGCTTTTTAAGTGATCCTAAGCCTCATGGATAGGAAAGGCCTTCAGCTTGGATGAAACCAACAACACGGAAACCTAAACACCTGCTGAATAAGTCAACCATGCCGGTCAGGCTCACTCTTCTCTTTGCTCCCATGTGCAGCCCTCCCTATACATACATGATGAAGTCCCAGGGGCTTCCGAGATCATCCACAGGGAGAGGCAGGGAGCTGCAGAATCTCAAACGTGACTGCAGAGAACCACCTGGGGGCTTTGAAAACCACCCACGCTGAGTCCCCAGCCCAGACAACTGAATTCAAATGATCTGGCGTAGGACCCAAGCATGGGTATTTTCAGGGGGTTAGGGAAGAGGTAAACTTTTAGTTAAGCGTTTTTATAAAAAAAAAAACCTGTAACATCCATATAGTGATGTACACAAATCTTAAGTACCCAGCCTAATGCATTTTTATAAATGAATACCCCTGAAACACCATCCCCCACATCAAGATACAAAACATCATCATCCCCTAGGAGCACAGAATTTTTAAAACTAAGTTCTTTTATTTTGAAATAATGAAAACTCTTCAAATTGCAGGCATGCAACAATGAACTCAGCAAGCATATTTAAAAATCTCCCCTGTTGATTCTAATATACAGACAGCTTGATTGCAATAATTGTTTTTGCCACATTTCTGGCCATGGAAAGCCTTCAATAAAGCATGGGCATAAGGTTTTAATATTCTGTTTCTGATTTCTTAACCAGGTCATTATTTCTCAAGGTTCCTTTAACATATAAATTAATTTCAGCCTCAGATACATTTGATTTTGTTGTATTGTGATTGTGGTTTTTTTTTTGTAATTTTTTTTATCAATTGTTTATGATTCACCACTTCAGCTCTTTCCAGTTATGTATGGACTAGGTAGCCTTTTTTGCTATAAAAAAAGAATACCTTACATGTGCTTGAGAAAAATAAAGGTGGGATTATACTCATTTTCTGTAGGGTAGCCATTAACTGATGGTTGGCAAGGCTGGAGGCAAAATCTGGAGCCCTCCATGGCTTAAGGGTTGGGATGCGTGAAAGGCAAGAGTCTGAGGAACTAAATACCTAGTGAGGAAAAACAAACAAAAGCAATCATGCCCAGGTCTGGTGGAAATATGGGAACTACAGAAGCCCTACTGACTTGCAAGTTTAGAAAGGCCAGCAGGAGAAATTCTGCCATACCGATGGGGAAGGGGACCAGGAAGGAGACACCGAAAACCCAGGAGTCAAGGAGCTGTGCTGCCATCAGAGGCTGAGATGCAAGGCCGGCCTTGGAAGGAATCCAGCTGCAGAGTGAAATCACCAGCAGTAATTCTCTGCGTGAGCACCTGGAGAGGCCAAGCAGTAGGGTTGCAACCAAGTCCACCTGGATGAGGCACTTTTTAAAAATTGGTACAAAGGTTGCATATGCATAGAGAGGCTGAAGGAGCAAGGCTGGGTAAAGCTGGACCCTGCACAGGCTCTGTATCTCCTTTTTATCTCCTTACACATAGTTCCTAAGAAGCAATTCTTTATGTGGCAGTGAAGCGGCTTTTCCTTTCCAAACAGCCAGCTGAGTGGGGCGGGAGCTAGATGTCTTCCTACAGGGGCAAGTTCTGGGGGTGGCTGAGGTCTTAAGGGCCCAGACAAAGGAGGAGAATCACCTAGAATTCCTTGGATGGTGGCAGAAAACAAGCCTTCGGGTGGACCTGGGTAACTACCTGTATGAGGGTATTTGTGGCCCAGAAGCAACCAGAGTGTAAGAAAGGAAAACTCATCACTTGAGCTTGGCAGGCCACACTCAACTTAAGTGTGTGGCAAAGAAAAGTTCTCTTTGGCCAAGTAACCAATTCCTTACATCTTTTTTTCCTTTTCTTTTTTTTTTTCTTTTTCTTTTTCTTTTCTTTTCTTTTTTTTTCTTTTTTCTTTTTCTGTTTTCTTCTTCTTCTTCTTCTTCTTCTTCTTCTTCTTCTTCTTCTTCTTC